GAAACAAAAGAGCCCCGTTTTTTACCGATCACCCTAATAGATATTGAAAATTGATATCATAACATCAAACGTCTTGAGAGGGTCTGAAAACAACAAACAAGGCTCGGCACAGGTGGCTTACGAGGTAGGCTGCATACCGTTTTGGGGAGAAAAAGGAAAGGGAATATGTTTTAAGGGGAGCAGATATGTGGACGATTGCTATATCGTGTGTTCGACTCAAAAGGAAGTAGACACATGATTTGACACTCTGAATACGCATTCGCCAAATATAAAATCCACAGAGAAAAGCCCAGGCAAAACTGGTTAGCTTTTTCAAACATTGAAATATTTCTATACAACGGAACATGGAAAACGAAGTGGTATCGAAAGCCAAGAAGTAAGAACATAATACTACATTGTTGATCAGCACATCACGAACCATGAAAAGGTCTATTCTATGTATTAAAACAGTTACGAAGTTCTCCTTCGGCACTTAAAAACGAGTAGCATCTTTGAAGTTGGCAAGAGCAACTGCGCTATCTAAGGGATATTCAAACTCAACTAATTACAACTTCTTAAATAGAATGCACATCGCACAAAGACGACTCCCAAAGAATTCCTATTTGCATACTCTTCGTGACGGACGAGTTCATCAAAGCTGTTATAAGGAGTTTGTTCTATGTAGGCTTTCAGAATGATGTGAGAATCAAAGACATTCCTCCTCCTAATCTCAAAAAGCAGCTGATTCGGAAGCGCTTATGATAACAATAACATATGTTTAACGATAGATTGCGTGGTATGTGCTTTTGGAAAACCAGGGGACTTTTTGAAAAGCGGCGTCGTCTATCTTATCAAGTGTCGGTTATGCGGTGTGAATATATAGGCGAAACCGGACGGCCGCTATGTTTACGGATTAAGCAGCACTTAGCTGTCCTCGTAAAATGTGAAGCATCAACACCCCTAAGTGCCCACTGTAAGACGATTCATGAAAATTCGGTATCCGATGTAGCTGCTTCAATTCTGTCTTACCAACCTGAGACTATAGCGCGCAAAACGCTTGAAGCAGAGTACATCACTTTAGACCGAATTGTCACCTTATCAAGCCTTATGCCGCTTTGATAGTAAATAAGTAGCTCACAAGGGAAGGATACTTGATCGCAGTGACGATTGGGTAAGCGGTGTATACCACGTATACCGTCCCCAGACGGTGATCTCTAAACCGCATTCCATATCTGCTATGACGTCATTCTGGAGGAGTTACAAAGGATTTTTGGTGCAGTGGATAGTGGCTTGGACTTCGGAGCTGGACGTCGTGGGTTCGACTCTCTGGGATACCACCCGTTTTCCTTTTTAGTAGATTTTGGTAGGCAAGTTGCAAAACCTGTCGACATTAAAAAAAGTTGATTTTCACAATATAAAGCAATATATTTGCATTTATTGGGACCGAACCACCGTCTGACCTAAAAACACTCGTTTTTAGCCTTTTTCATTAAATATCAAAAATCGATAAAGACGCCATTTTTGACAGGTTAGCTGCTCCTCTCTATGTTGAGCACGAATTCGGAATTTTTCAATGCAAAATTGAGTAAAGTATTTAATGAAAAAGGCTAAAAATGAGTGTTTTTAGGTTAGACGGCGGTTCAGTGCCAATAAATGTAAATGTACTGCTTTATATTGTGAAAATCAACTTTTTTTGATGTCGATAGGTTTTGCAATTTGCCCTACTAAAATTTACAAAAATGCAAAACGGTGGCATCCTAGAGGAATCGAACCCACGACGTCCAGCTCCGCAGTCCAATCCGTTATCCACTGCACCAAAAACCCTTTATAACTCCTCCAGAATGATGTTATAGCAGATATGGATTGCGGTTTAAAGATCACCGTCTGGGAACGGTATACGCGGTATACACCGCTTACCCAATCGTCACTGCGATCAAGTATCCTTCCCTTGTCAGAAAGCAACAGCTTACCATATTCGGCTCGCTCTGAGTTTGAGCGGTTACATTGCTCAACTTCAAGCGGGTGAGCATTGCTCCCGCATTTATTTCTCTCTCGTACCAGATGGCGCTCTTCCTATAATAAGGACACGTGCGAGTAGAGCTCATGTAAACATTTGAAATCAGGCTCCGAAGACTGCATGGACGCCGAAACGTTAGCCAAATAAGTATTGGTCATACCATCTTGACACAGCTCAGCAAGAAATATTACAACTACTCAATCATGCCGAGATTTATCGACAGTGGCAATAAAGGGGATATCGTTTTTGTGGAGTCCAAGGCAAAGCCCCGTAAAATGTGTGCTTATATTCACTTATTATGTGTTGTGTGAATAAAAATCACCAAACGCTTCGTGCTAAATCAGGGTCTTGAAAGCGGTAAAAATTTTTCAGAAAAACTTCTGATCACGGAGGCAAGTTAATATTGGGTTTTTATACGAAAATAACCGAGTGAAAGGAAGGCTGGCCAACTCCATGCTCATAAACTCGACAAATTTTTGCAACTCTTCTCCTTATTAACAAAACTTGCCCCATCGCTACTGTCATGGATTCTCACCCCCCGTCTTTTATTTCCCCTTCTCATCTATCAGAGACGTCGCAACTGCTATCATTCCTTTACCAGTACCACTGTGCAAAACAAACAATTTCCCGCTCCAACATGCTCTGCTTGCAAGCGCGCGAATTCAAAATGTGCCCCAAAAAAACAAACAATAGCCTTGTTTACAACGAAGAGGAAATAATATAGCCAGAAAATTGAGTGTAAAAGCGCAATGGAGAGCTAAAAGTATGTATTAAAAAGTGTGAGAAGGTTATGTGGACTAAAGGGTGCCAGGCTCTTTGTTAGGAGTTAGCTGGTTTCGAGCCACCTGGAGAGCCACCTGAGGTGACTCAGAGCAAACAAAGTCATAAATTCTCTCTCTTCACATTTTTTCGTACTTTTACACAACTTCAATTTCATCCAAAACCTACAAATGAGTTTTTGAAACCACCTTAACCCCCACCTCTCCGATCAGTTAGAGCCCTCCAGAACTTTTGAATGGAGGCGGCAATCCCGTTCCAAACGCGCGGTGATGCGCCGAGGAGACAAAATGCCGCCAGCTTGGAGTTTTTTTTATTGTCAGTTTGATATTGTTTCTGTATCCTGTTCTGTTTTTTATTCATGTTTGGTTTTTTCACGAGTGTGTCATAAGGGATGCCATAAGGGACTTCGTTTCCAAAAGTTGGCGGCCAGATCGTGCGGAACGTGTTTTGCAAAATTTCTTGAGCTATAACTTTGCCACATTATTCTTGGATCGATAACGACCTTCAGATGCAGGCTTTTGCAATACGCAAATTCGCTGGTGCTGATATCTCAAACGTGTAGGAGACTATGAAGGAAGAATAAAAACAAGTTTTTGCGAGCCTCATTCTGGCAAGTCATTAACTCCCTCGAAATTTTTAGTATGTTCAAGCAGCTTACCGTGTAGCCGCGAGCCAGTAGTATAAATGCAGAAAAAAATTTCGTCGAAAGAGATCAGCGGAATGAAAGAAATTTCAAAATTGCCGTTTTTCTAAGCCTTTTTAATAGGCTCTAGAGTGCCAGATTATACAATTTTTTGATTTTTTTCGTGGAGGAAGCTACGTTTTTGCAGAAAGAGTCAACAAAATATCTTAATCTTACGGTTATAGAAATGTGCAGAGTTCAAGTGATATTCTTCATAGGAGGCTTTTGTGTCGTAGTATGGCCGCAACCTTTGACCCAAAACGTCAATTTCTTATTCCGAATAGTACTAAAAATATGATCTACAGTGGATTATGCAGGAAATTTTTCGGCCATGGGAAGCGAAATTAAAGAAAATATGCTTTAATCGGGAAAAACTGCGGTGCATGCAAATTTCCTTCCTTGCGGCCTAAGGGAAGAGGAAGTGTTTTTGAAACGAATTGCAATGCACCTCAATCAACATCTTCTTTCTGCATGCATAACACTTTAATCGGTAATTTCTTCGCTTTCTATGGACCACTGTTATCGACAGAAAATTTATTTATGATGATCAGAAGGGGTATGATGAATCTGGGAGGTTTACAGCTTAATTGCTCAAAACATATCAGGAAGAAACTAGAAAATTCAGTCGATTTCTTTCATTGCTTCGAACACCACTCTAAACTGCAGAATAAAACGATGAAGCAACATTTCACAAACGGGAAAAAGAAAACAAAGACATTTCTACATCGCGAACTTTACTCAAACCAGATTGGACATTTGATTGTCCGGCTCAGCGTCGTCATCATTCACTAGCCAGTATGTATTCAGCACTCCTTTGCCCTGCAACATCACATAAATGTAGTGAGCTTCATAAAAATGAGAATACTCATAAAAATATAGCTACATGGCTATCAAAGTTTGGCTATATGTTAGGTAGCGATGCGTTTTTGAACAGTCTAGAAGGTTTTTCTTCAAAGATCTCACTTTTATAAGTACTTCTCCGCGTGATTCGGTTCTAAATTCAGGGTATTTTTCTCCAACGAGCTTAGCGGCTTGCTCAGACATGTGTATCTTTCCAGCTGGAATGTTTAGTTTAACACTTTTTTAGACTTCTTATAATCTAAAAGAAAACAAATATATGTCTCTGAAATCTGTATTGAGCTCTGTTTGTGAGACTTGTCCAGAATGAATTTGCAAAAGGGTTGCTTACGTTTTCCATTGCTCTCCATTCTGCTTGCGGTATTCACGGTATCGCCAAAGAGACAGTATTTGGGCATGGCAAGTCCAACAACTCCGGCAACACAGGGTCCTGGAAAGAATAAATGTTAGTAGATTGTTCATAGTTGGTTTTCAGCATGCACTGCTTGAAGGATGGGTAGTTTGGGCAAGATATGCTCTCAGTATTGCCTACATCGACTCTCAACCATTCGCATGGTTTGTAATTTGAACCAAGCTGTCGTATTTGTCGAGACAGCTTTTCGTTTATGACTGCGCCATTCCTTATTCTCGTTGCCTACGTCCGGGCTTGGCATGCGTTTCGCTCCAAGGGCTTATTTTACAATTTTAAGACTCCTTATCTGTGTGAACACCGATGCGGATCATGACCCTGTAGGATGGCATGTGCGGAATGCGAAACTCCTTCAAATCTCTTAGCAGCTGGAGAGACATCAGACAGATTTCTTTGATATGTTCCGTTCCATTACGACGGGGCAATCCGGAAACACAAAGATACGCATCGCCAATGGTTTCAACCTGAAAAAATAGTGTTCTCTGAGAGATAATAGAGTGAAAGGTATGGTAAAGTACCTTGTAAACATCTCTTTCGTCGATTTTACTGTCAAAAATTGTGTAGAACTCATTGAGAAAGTCGACAACCTGAATTTTTTTTGAGAGTTGAAACTTTATTTGAAAGCGATTCAAATGCTTCGCACAAAGTCTAGTAACAGTAGAAACAATTTCAAATTGCTCTACTATTCCATGCCTCAAACAATTCCATGATTTTTTTTTCGGAGAAGTTTGTTGAAGAAACACATACCTGCATGGGACTACATTTCGACGAGAGTTCTGTGAAGGATACGATGTCCGAAAAGAAAATCGACACACTGTCGAAGGATTCCGGAACAATTTGTTGTCCAAGTCTTAGTTTTTCCACTACTTGCCTGAAGTTAGAAGTCTTAAAGCTAGCAGAATAAGTTCAGATAGTTGATCTATGTTGGTTTTTTGCTAGTAAGAGGAGTGAAACATGATGAAGGTACTATATGATTTCTCAACAGTTTCATGTTTTAATTTATACAGAAGAAAAGAATTTTTCAAACAATACAGGGTGTCTAAAGATGCACCTAAAGGATACTGCATGACGAAGGCGCAATAGCAGTGTTAGTTGAGCGGGCGCGAACTCGGCGCGCGCGTATATTCACCGTTGTAAATCCTGCACCTTCGCTCTGCGGCTAATAAATCCGCGTTCGCGCCCAAAGGTATTGCGCTTTCGTCATGCAGCAGCCTTTACAGTTTGATTATTAGTAACCTCTTGTCATTAAGGTGTTCGAGAACCTTTAGGTACCATTTTGTAAAGCTAGCTTCATTCAATTTTGCAGTATGCAGCAAATTACCGTTCTTGATTATTGTAGGTTTACGGTAAAAACTTTGAGGAGGATTTTGCATGATTGAGGGTCATATTTCACCCCTAAAGACACTAGGTTTAATCTGATTTCAGATAAAATACTGAACTCTACCTAATGTCTCTCCTAAGTTATGCCTAATATATGTACCGTGACAACCGTCTTCTGATATCCGTCAAAAATTTGATTACAAAATTCAAAAAGTTCTGCAAATGCGCTAAGAGTTTTGTAGTGAATTCAGCATGCATGAAAACCTGTTACACAATTTTCCATATTTCTGAAAATTTTTCTCTAACAGCTTATCTTGCCGCCATATGCTACGAATTCATACTGTACTTACAATTAGAAGAGTGATCGGTAATTCGACTTTTACTGCAAGCTTAAGTTGAAACCAGCTCTACAAAATAGGACCTAAACCTTCTCGAAAGATTGCATGACAGAGAGTTATTAACAATCAAATAGTAGGGACATTTTTTTGGGACAACTTATATTGGCAATGGGTATGTTGTCATCCAAGTATTTAGATTTTTGAAGTTACATTTTATGACACGAAACGACAGTCTTGGTCCAGACATTTATCTAGATTGGCTTGGACTTTTAGGCAGATTAAAAGAACATTTTCCAGCACTTGCTTGGCCCCATGTATTATACTCAAACTAATCTGTAGACAATAACATACACTGGTAGCATACGACAGAGAAGCAAATCGCTTTTCTTTTTCTCGTCAACTAATTCTTTCGTTCGAGCTTCAACCTCATTTTCAAGGGAATCAGCATACTTTTCCATGATCTTGAAGACGTGATCCATGAGATTAGCATGTCTGTAATAAATTGATTTCTTCAAGTTGGATTGTGCGTCTTCGAATCTCTTTTTACTTGTCCTTGAAGCATGGCTTCAGCATTTTATGGACTTCTTCTATAGTCGGTCTACTGTTTGGTTCTTCTTCCCAACAATCGCGAACCATATGAATCTAGAAATTCGCACAGATTGAGCCCATAAGTAATAATGTAAAATTTCCCTTTCTATGGTTTTGGAACTAATTACTCATTGTATATGGGAAGGTAATAGCCGGTTTGATTAATTTTTGTGCATAGAGCTTTCTTCGAAGTTTTACGCCAACTTTACTTCTTCCGGAAACATATGACAGGTACACCGTAAAGACACTCACCACATCTGGCTTCAACTCTAAAGAGGGGTCAGGATTGAGATCTGGTCTCATGAGCTTTCTTCCTCCTTTCTTCACCATGTATAGAATATCTAAATATGCATATGAAGCTGCGACAAGTTTCTTCAGAATCAGAAATATTTTCAAAGATTCATCAGGGCAAAAAATTTTTGTTCCGGGAGACTAGATCTCAGAGGAACAAACTGGTGCATTTCGTTCTCTGTTTTTTAACAGCTATGTTTCCAAACCAAACACTGTTCAAGAGATTTGCCCAATTCATCCAAAACTTCAGTCCTGTCCGATATCTTCTGAAAATGAGGCCTTAATCTCATTTAAAAATTTTTGAATTAGAAGATTCTGCAGTCGAGTCAATTAGAATCGTAGCTTCTTCTGGGCCGATAGTAATCTACCCTACCTGGTGGCATCATAGATGCCGGCAAGTTGGCACACATCGCGGAAAGATGCCAACTCCGCCGGCAGCTCGCGGAGTGATTGTAGGTTTCAATAATCTTATCTAACCTTAGCACGCAATCATTTCGCACATTAAATTTTGATGACGCAGACAGCCGCAAAATTGCTACCTCGCGCGCGGTCGAACCTATGTGCGTTAGCTTGAAGTGCCACCACGTTAACCATTCGACCATTCGGTCAGCCATTGCCTTTTGCACCAGCAATAGGAGGAACGCATTGGTGAGTGGCTGCCTATAAAAGGGATCGATACATTGCGTGAGAGAGTTTGACCTGAAAGAACAGCTGATTGATATGAGCGAGAGAGGAGCGAAATCGGTGCAAACTGAGATTTATAAGGGATTGCCAAAACAGTTCGTGTTCTATATGATTCTAAGGCATTAGTGGATTTTTTCTCTGTAAGAAAATCGTCATTTTAAAAAAGAAAAACCCATATAATGAGAAAAATGATAGTTTTTTCATGAAAAGTAGAATTTTTGATTTTTTCGCCTGACGTAAATTGTGTGATATCGCCGCAATTCGCAAACTCGCAGACGCCGTCGGCAAAGGTGCCACCACCTCGACGTGGTAGGGGCACGTCGAGATGCCGGCAGCTCGCTCTCTCAAAAGAGCACGCTATTTCTCGTGCTCTGTGACCTGCCGGCAGCTGCCATCTCGCGGATTCCGGCAACCTGCCGGCAGGTTGCCGGCAACTGACATCGCGAAGTTGCCGGCAGCTCCTCCTGGAATTCCAGATATTTTACTAAAGGAGGAGTTCTGGAGCCGCAGATTTTTATGAAGTTTTCTACAGAGTCGAGGCGGCAACTTTATCGAGAAAATTTTTTGAAAAAAGGCCTGGGACGGCCTAAATTTCGGTTCTTAGTTTCTGGCCACCTCGCGGAAAGGTGCCAGCAACCTGCCGACGAGGCCTGCCGCCAGGTCGGGGGGATTACTACCGGCCCTGTAGTTTTTCATTCGCCCTTTACAACTTCTTGATCGAATATTCGAAAGTTTGAGATCTTGAATAATATTCGACAGTCGAATATTCGATGGTCATCAATTCGATCAATCGATGTTCATTGATTGTTCGAATATTCGATGAGCACCAAATATTCGAAGATTCGATCAGCATGACTATTAGAAAATGAAGTCGATGACCATCAAGTATTCCGAAGTATTCGTAGCGTACACGGGGTGTCCCAAAAGCGACAACTTTTGGGTAACATTCTGTAAGGCTGGCTTCAGCTTTCATTTACAGCAGAATGCGGTTTATCTATGTTTTTTAATGTTGTGGATACGGTAGGAATTTCCAGCATATAGAGCAGCTGAGCGTTAAGACATCCGAAAGTACTCGAAAAAAAAAACTTAAAAATTTGTGAAGCAGAGATCTTACGTGCGCTGATTTCAGCACATACGCGACCTTTCGTAATTTTTTCAAGCTTTTCAAAAGTGTAATCACGTCTTTGAGAAGCACTGAAAATATTTGTTGCGTATACCTGGCATAACTTGTGAAAAGAGTATTGCGGTTGAGTGCAAACTTTATATCTCTAGTGAGCGACTTCTAATGTCTAATGTAATTTCGGCTTTTTGTCATCCTTGTTAAGCAAACTACGGCTCTCAGCGCTTTCTTTTCAGTTTTTCTATCCTATAACAGTGAAGACCATTGTAAGTTGAAATCGGCCACACAGAATGGTGCCTAAAATTTGACAAGACTTTGTGGGAGCGAAATTGAGAGTGTCTACATACTTTTAGGACATGTATCCCAATCCAGTTTGTATTGCCCGCGCAGTTACGTACGCAAGATGATCCGCCTTTGTATGTCGCAGTAGTTGCTCACAAGGGGATGGTCAGAAATCGAAGTGGCCAATCCATACAAGCTGCATACCATTAGATGCAGCATAAAACGCTGACTTCAAATCTGTCTTCCGTATCTGCAGAGCGCTTTTGTGGACGAAATTATGACCCGTCAAAGGCCATAATTTTGCTAAGAAATTATGTGTGTAAAGGGCAAACTCGGCCGTACAGAGCCATACCCGGCTTAGTGCAAGACCAAAACATGCAACTAGGTCACTTCATATGGTCAGTACCTAAAGGTGAGCGAAAAGGGCAATAATGCGCCTAATCTCGCAATTCTAGTATACGATTTTTTCGCACTAAAGCTGATCATAACTTCGCTTACAGAGGCGCTCTGCAGATACGGAACGCAGATTTGAAATCAGCATTTTATGCTGCATCGGATGGTATGCAGGTATGGATTGGCCACTTCGATTTCTGACCATTCCCTTGTCAGTGTCGCTGCTCAGGGAATGCCACTACCAAAAGATAAAGATCTTTTTGAATTTCTAGTAATTTCTTCATATCCGTCATAGGGGCAGGCCTTTATGTTCGATTCTCGTGGTGTCACCAGTAAACAGTTTTCTCATCATCAATTGTAACATAACGAAAGCTTCTACTCTTGATAATTGCCTGGAACAATTTATTGGTATTTTGGTCTCTTATAGGCAGTCGTCTTTAGATTCAACTTATTCGAATGATATTCGAGAATCGGATGATATTTGAAAATCGAATAATGTTCGACATTTGAACATTATTCGAAAATTTTGATCTTCAGAATCGATAGTCAAAAATCAGAAATTTTCGATTTTCGAACATTATCCGATATTCAAATGTTCGAAAATTTCGACTTTTCCTAAAGGCAGCGTCCGGACAAGATTTCAAATGGAATTTTTTCGCACCTGAGCTTATCCTTCCTGCTGATTCCAAAAATGCAGCTCGGAGAGCACAAAAACGTCGAAAACGGGCTTTTGCAGAAGCTCTTAATTTGAATTTTTTCGCCTGCCGCCATAAGACGCAGAGTCTTTGTGAGAGCCTATGTCTTGACTGTGTGCGGTATGCGCACTCTGGCTTATCGAACTAATTAGTCCCCGGTCGCCTGGGCGTTCTGGTTGCGAAAATTGGTGCAGTGCCAGTTGGGGAAGACCCTTACCAGGCCGGGCGCTCCTAAACTCCACATATTCGTTTTTGCCCGGACGCTGCCTTTAAGTATAAAATGATGCAGGCATGTCGACATTTCGGCGAGAGTCGCCTTTGTCAAGACCTGGAAAATGAGTCAATAAATTCGACGCTCCAAGGGTAGAAGTTCCTTCAGCAAAACACTTCAAGCAGCTGTCCACCACTCTGACACTTTGTCAGGTCACTGCTAACTCTTGTAATGGAATGAAGTGCACTTTTGAGGTTAGACTCAAATCCACAAATGGTAAGAATGGGACGAGCTCATTATTGATGGCTATTGATAACTTAACATTATCAGAAATATGCTACGAACGTCTAAAAGAGTGTCTCCAAATGGTGCTCTAGAATCCGCATCAATCAAGCAAGCTATTCAAATTGCGCATGCCAACGGTCATCTGCTACCGGAAACAAACGTTTGTTGTAAGAATAATGCTAAAGTTTTTTTTATCAGCAGTGAAAAGGTGTCATTCCTTATGCCATTCATATCCGATAGGTATAGCGCTGCGAATAGAATCTGCGTTCACAATGCGCCTGCATATGTTAATAGTTGTGAACCGCCCTGAAACCTCAACCGCAAACCGCCTGATGCGTAACAGAAGTTACGATTCAGCCTGCTCGAAAACAGATTGCAATATATGCAATTCTAACAACCCGGGAAACTGCATGTGTCGCGGTGCTATGTACTTGATATCTTGTAAACTGTGTGGAAAAGAACATATTGGAGTGAAACAGGAAGACAGGAATACTGTGTGTATAAATTAACGATTTGGACGGAATGAAAAAATCGCGAGTGTCTACTCCTCTGGGCGCACATCGTGCACTGTGCCATCAGAACATAGAGTTCTAAATCAACATTGCTAGAAGCTTGTTGGATTACGTCCAAATGTCCTAAACCGAACAGAAAGGAAGAGAAAATGGCTATTAGTAGTGAGCTGTCCCATCCTTATAATTGTGTGGATTTAAGTTTGACCTCAAAAGGAACCTCATTCCATCACAAGAGTTAGCATGTAATGAACTGACAAAGTGTCAGGGTGGTGGACAGCCGCTTGAAGTGTCTCGCTGAAGGTATGTCTACCCTTAGAGCGTCGAATTTATTGACTCACTTTTCAGGTCTTGGCAAAGGCGACTCTCGCCGAAAATTCGAACCGTTTACTGGTGTCGTTGTATCAATAAACTGGTAATAATCTTGGAAACGCTTACTGACTGAGAACTAATATATTAAACATAAAATGCCAATATTCAAAGATGGTCGAGCATGATGTATGCATGCAATTTATTAATTTTTTTTCGTCAGAATCAATTATTCGATTCATGCAATGGCGTAGTTTCTAATTTTATTTTCCAAGAAGAATAATCATGCATTTCATGCCATTGCACAAACCCAATACGATTGATTTTGACAACAAATACATTGCTTGTTTATATCAATTGCCATTTGCAGAAGAGGTAACGAATGATTGATGAGCTAAAAAGTGAGATTTGAAACAACCTTCCGGATCTTCATCGCGATTTTCCAGATCCCAAGCGCTGGTACCCGCGATCAGTTCTGAACATATGATTGCAAAACTATAGATGTCTCCTTGCTTTGTTCCATCTTGTTGATACTCTCGCAGCAGCTCAGGTGCCATATACAGCTTGTCTAAATGTATAGTAATGTATAGGGCCAAGATTATAGGTTCAGAGGTTTAAATTTCTAATAAGCCAAATGGTTTCTAGAATAGTTTTTTGACACCTCACATCTTAACGGCGGTTCATCAGTACCGTTCATAAACCCGAGACCATAGTTGCTAAGTTTCACTTGCCAACGCGAATCTACGAGACAGCATGAAGAGGTCAAACATCCGTGTTTCTCGAGAAAAGAACTGTGAATGTAGTGAAGGCCCTGAAACCTAACTTTCTGCCAAAAATCTCAAGCAACACAGTATGAATACGAGCGCATTCGTCCATCCAAACTGAAGGTCATGGGGTATTGATATTGTTCAGTAGCGGATCCTTAACTCTAAGCAACGCCCAAATCTCGCTGCAAAAGATGACTTTTAAAGCGAGAAAACCGCTGTAAAGGTATAGAAGCGGCCAAGTTAGCTCTGCCTAAGTTTAAATTTGACCTGGCGTGCTCAGAATTGTCATTTCATTAATGATCAAATTTGGGACCTTTCTGTCTACACTGAAGCCGAAAATTGGATTGGTATCCTCAGGCCACTCAGGTTAAAGCCAGCGTCCCGTCAAAAAGATGGGTGCCGGATGCGATGTAAAAGTATACCTCCTACCTAAGCGATGACTGATGTTCGGAGCGAAAAAGGGGTCTACCAAGCCTGAAATTTGCTCCGAAAGTGGCCCGGATCTTAAGGTAGGCCCGAATCCCGCTCACACAGCGATTTCAGACTGCAAGGACAGAGCACGCATAGCGCACAGAGTCATGAGCGCAGAGTCTCGCAACGACTCTGCGTTTCTACCTTGCATGCATCTCGTACTCGCCCGAGCCTACCGTAATCCGGACCACTTTCGAGGCAAATTTCAAGATTGGCAGACCCCCTTTTCCGCTCCGAACTTCATTCATCGCATAGGTAGGGGGTCTCCTTTGACATCGCCACAAAAACCCGGCACCCATCTTTTTTACGGGACGCTGCCTTTAAGGCGGCGCCAGCGTAGCCGCTTCTTCCTTCTGGAGAAGGTTTCTCGCTTGAAAATTCATCTTTTGCAGCGAGATTCAAGCAATTGCTTAGTCAGAGTCCTCGCTACGATACAGAGCAAATTCTCAACAGCTCAGTTGGGTGGATGGTGCCTTCAAGTCTTCGCTAACAAGGGAATGGTCAGAAATGGAAGTGGCCAATCCAGACAAGCTGCATACCATTAGATTTAGCAGAAGCGCTGACTCTAAATCTGTCTTCCTTATCTGCTTATTGCTTTCCTGGACAAAGCTATACGCCACCAAAGGCCATTATTTTGCTAAGAAATTATGCATGAAAGTGAAAATCTGGCCGTTTAAAGCCACATTCGGCCTACTGCTGGGCCAAAACATGCAGCTAACTTACTTCAAATTTTTGAAGCCTGAATCCGAGTTGAAAGTGCAACGATGTGCTCAATTTCGCAATTTTTATGTACGATTTTTTCACAGTAAAACTGCTTGTAGCTTCGTTCACAGAAGCGATAAGCAGATAAGGAGGACGGATTCAAAGTCAGCGTTTTATACTGTATCGAATGGTATACAGCTTGTTTGGTTTGGCCAATTCGACTTCTGACCATTCCCTTGTAAGAAATTTCTACTACATGCGCAATTGTTAAGTATTAAAGGAACGTTGACGTGATGGTGATGTGGTCTCTTTGCTGGTCTGGAATCCTCTAACCTTAAAGTTCAAGAATGTTGTGACCCGTTCATTTGTCCTGCTGATATACAAAAGCAGACATAATTTTTTTAGCACGTCCGAAATTCCCAGAAGTAAAGCCTTTGAAAAATTTGAATTTTTTCCAGAATTACAAAGGGCTCCATATCTCGTAAAAAGGAGACGATACTAGCAGCTTCATCCAATCATTCTCTTGCTTATGCAGAATTTTCTGCAAACGTAATGTAGCAATTTTGGTTTTTCGGCTTTGTAAAAAAATTTGTTTGAGCCGAGTGTTCATCCGTAACTTCTAATAGAACAAGTATGACGGTGGCCATTTAGGAAGGTGCAAAATTTGGTGAAATGGACTGTACACTTGAGTATAGTGCTTTTCTCGGAAGTTGACGAAAGATTTTTCTGTCATAGAGTACCCATATCAAGAAAATTTTTTGAATCTAAACAACATGCTTACAGCTGCGTTCAAGCTAGATATAGTAGACGTCATCGGTCTAGTCACTTCGCTGCGCCGTGTGACACTACAGAAGAATTTGGAATCCCGGATCCAGCGTTTCCGCCTGTGCCGCGGTTGCACACAACGGCAGACCCTAATTCAAATGAGGCCAGAGTCTTTTCTCGCGTTTTTATCCCTTCTTTGTTTCCAGTCGTTCGCGGAATGCTATTTCTCGTAAATCTGTTCCTTCAAGGGTCGTTTTGCGCTGATGTTCTCAAAATTTTTTATTTTCAATTCAAAAATACTAACAAGGGAAGTCACTTAACTTAGGTCGGCCTTCTGAAATGAGACACGTATATTTAGAATCAGTTTAGAACGCTGATTCCAAATATGCTGTCCTTAGCTGCGAAGCATTCTGAAGCTAGTTATAAGCTTTTTCCTAAGCAAAGTTTGCGTAGTGATCGACTTAGGCATGCTGCGGTATCGTCATCCAGGTAGAAGTTCAAATGCATACAACACCCTATCAAAGCCAAATGACTCAGTTTGATGTTATTTCGATTTCCACCACTTTTTTAGCCAGTTTTTCATCTAAAGATCTTCTTTTCATATTCAGTTATATGTCAATTACACATACCGAAAAGCTCATAGTTCTCTTCTGAGGATTGCTTCGCAGCAGGACAGCATATTTGGAATCAGCATTGCTAGCTGAATCTAAATATATTTGTTTCATTTCAAAAGGACCTAAGTTAAGCGACTTTCCTTGTAAGAAGCACGCGTGATTGAACGAGATTGACTTGTGTGCGCCTAACTGCAATGTGAGCACTCTGTGCTTATATCCGAGCAGTGTAGTCACTGAGGAGCCCTAGTTTGAACCTCCTGTTGTTTATAACGACGCTTCAATGAAAAATGAGAAGCTATCCATCCCCATGATTACCCAAAACGAAGTTTACAAATTTTTGAAAGCTAGCAGGGCATCGAACTCTGTAACCTCCGAGAACACACCGGTTTTTTTTACAAGAAATGTGCTAAACTTCTTAGTTTTCCATTGACGCATATTTTCCATCTCTTTGACTACAGGCAGAATTCCAAGACTGTGGAAACAGGCTGTGGTTGTCCCAATACCTAAACGTTCTGGTGCAACCAGAGTCACAGAGTTTAGGCCCATAAGTATTCTGCCAACCCTCTGCAAAATAATGGAAAAAACTCTTGCCAAGTCAATTCTGAAATGGCGCCTCAAATTAAAATGTTTCCCCAATGAGCGGTACGGGTTCACATCCGGTTCCTCTACAACTGTGCAGCTGACAAAATGTTGCCAAGACTGGGTCAATGCGCTGAGCAGTGAGCAGTAGCAAATCAGTCGAGGTGATACTTTTGATCTTACGGAAGCATTTTGTTCAGTCAATCACCACGGACTTCTGACTTAACTAAAAAGCATCGGAATAAGGACAACCTTTTGACGTGGTTTGAATCCTATTTTTCGAACAGGAGTTTCTCCATCCCTTTTCAAAGTCAGAGATCACTGGAGAGACCCTCCGCATCGGGTGTAACCCAAGGAAGTGCGTTGTCTCTTCCTCCCTCTCTCTCTATTCAATATTTATACTATAGAAATTCCTAAATTGCTCAAAACTGATACCCATATCAATGTTGCAGCTTATGCGAATGATATAAAGATTTACGCTATTTACGATAATGAAGTAGAAAGTTCTGGCAAGTTGAAATCCACAGTGCATCAAATGTTAACATGGACAGAGGACTGGGGATTGAGGGTCAATCTATCTAAGGGCCGCATGCACTAACATCCCCGCGGGGAGGGGATCGCAGCTTGAAAGAAAGCTTTATATTTCGAAACTCCAGATACCTGGATTTCACGTTGTGTACCTATCCGTAAGTATTCCTATTACCCTTCACTATGAACATGTTGAACAGGAGCGAGAAGCTGTACAAACCGCATTTTCCAGCTTTTGTATGATCCCTGGCGCTTTTCTTTAAATTCATTTTTCTTTCTCCGAAGTTAACGAAGAATCTCCAGAGTTGTGCAGATTGTCTAACCCGACAGTGCTAAGCATGTTGCTGCTAAGAACAAATGAAGTTTTGAAGTCATGAAATTTGCGATGATCCACAGGTCGAAATTTGAGGCTTACCGAAAAATTCGACTTTTCAAAAACTCATTTGTTCTCATCAGCAACATGCTTAGCAGTGTTGTGTTAGATGTTCAGCACAACTTTGGAAGGTTTTCGTTAACTTCGGAGAAAGAAAAATGACTCTAAAGAAAAGCGCCGGGGATCATCAGGGATCATATAAAAGCTGGAAAATGCGGTTTGTACAGCTTCTCGCTCCTGTTCAACATGTTCATAGTGAATGGTAGTAGGAATACTTACGGATAGGTAAACAGCGTGAAATCCAGATATCCGGAGCTTCAGGATATGAAGCTTTCTTCTGAAGCTGCGATCCCCTCCCCGCGGAGATATTAGTGCATGCGGCCCTAAGGGTCGCATGCATAACTTGCCGCTGAGGTGGGGATCGCAGCTTAAAAAGAAAGTTTCATATCCTGATTCAGATATCTATTCCACGCTGTATACCTATCCGTAAGTATCCCTATCATTCTTCACTATGAACATACTGAACAGGAGCGAGAAGCTGTACAAGCCGTATTTTCCAGCATTTTGTATGATTCCCTGATGATCCCCGGAGGCCGATTGTCTTTCTTCAAAGTCACCTTTCTTTCTTCGAAGTTAGCGAAGACCTTCCAGAGTTGTACTGGACATCTAAAACAACAATGCTAAACATGTTGCTAATAAGAACAGGTGAGTTTTCAGAAAATCGATTTCCGATAATCCCCAACATTCGACTTGTGGTTCATCACAAATTTCATGACTCCAATACATCATTTGTTTCTATCAGCATTATGCTTAGCACTGTTGAGCTAGATGAACAGCACAACTTTGGAATGTTTTTATTGAATTCGAAAAAGAAGAATGACTTTATAGAAAAGAAGGTCGACAGCCAGGGATCATCAAGGGATCGAACAAAAAGCTGGAAAATGCGACTTGTACAGCTTTTTGCTCCCGTTTAATATGTTTTCAGTGAAGGATAGTGGGAATACTTGCGGTA